ACAATTCAAATATAACTGAACTCGAACATGACTTACTGAACATGATAACACATAATGGTCGAAGGTTTGAACTTAACATGTAATAACATGCGAGCGGCCCGTGGTGCGCATTAAGTGTGCGACCACAACCCTTCGGCCAAAGCACTACCAACATGACTAATTATCCAAACATTTACGTTAATTTAAACATGATATTGCAAATAAAAGCTAAACATGCAAGGATAGTTCGGAGAATAATAACTTATAACATGACATGAACGGCACGGTTATGGCTTAACACACATGACACGCGTGAACGCCTAACGGAAAAATCGAACTAAATAACATGATAGTCTCGGTCTACGACCGTCGGGAACTTACCTCTTACAAAGCTCAAGAGACTAATCTACTCGAACTCCCGCTCTCGGTCGTGACCCTCCGCGTGTGCGACACCGTGCGATGGTTTATGTTGCGTGCGGCTCTCGGCAATTGCCCACGAATAACACACTCAACACACACAAAGCCTCACTTAACTCTTGGCCATATGCTAACAAAAGACACTCAAAAATCCTCACAATTCTCTCTTGAACTCTCGGCAATATAGATTTAGGCGCACAAGGAAGATGGCAAATGAAAAGTTTCTCCAACTTAACTCTCTTATGCACGGCCGAAAGGAAGAGGAGAAATTACATGGTCAAAGACCATGAACACTTGGCAACCATGCACACCTCTCTTGGCCTCACTTAAGACACGTGAAAATGGCAACATAATTGAGGAAGAAATGTTTGGTCAAGAACCCACTACATGCACGACATTATGCAAAACCAAGAAGGAAAATATGGACAAAATGCACTAAAATACAACACTAATACCCACGGCATTTAAGGACTAAAAGGGGAGGAATCTTAGACCAAAGACTAGCATAAAGACAAAGGAGGAATCTTGACTACATATACACATGGAGCACGACATTATGCATGCCTAGGGAACAAAATTCTCCACTTACTTAACATTAAGAACCGCACGGCTAAATTGAAGGGAAATTTTTTAAAAAAAAAAATCCCAACACTAAAACATGAAGAGAATTTGGACCAATATACCTTATGCTCACGGCTTTAATGCCTTTGAACTAATTTCCACACGGCTAATCCACATTAGCATTAAATTAATGCTTAACAATTCACTAAATTATGCTTAATAAATATATAAGCATAATACTTAATTACGAAAATTATTTCGAACGTAAGCGGTACGTTGAAAATCATTTCCGGTAATTTCGACTGAAATAACTGAAAATAATTGATTCCGAAAAATAATATCGGAACTAAAACATAATTTACACTGATAATTTGTCGGGATATTACATCATATGCACCATTGATTTGGTTAACCAAGAGTTGTGAGTCTGAGAAGACTTTGAGGTGCTTTACATTCATAGATTCAGTTAAATTTAGTCCAGATAGCAAAGCTTCATATTCGGCCTAATTATTGGTGGCGGGAAACAAAAATTTCCCTGAATGACAGAATAATCGGTTTTCCAGGTTAGCCAAAACAATTCCAGCACCTGCTCGGTTTGCCGTGGAGGACCCTTCGATATAGAGGACCCACGGTTGGTCATCATTATTCAGCCCCACCACCGGCGTGAATTCGGCAATGAAGTCGGACATGACTTGTTCTTTGATTGCAGTCCTCGGTTGGTAGTGGATGTCGAACTATCCGAGTTCGATGGACCATTTTATCATTTGCCCCGAGGTGTCAGGTCGGTGTAAGACTTGTCGTAGTGGATACGAAGTGCGAACAGTTATGGAATGCTCTTGAAAATAAGGTCGCAATTTTCTAGCGGCAGTGACAAGTGCAAATGCCAACTTCTCCATAGGAGGATAGCGTAGTTCGGCATCATGTAGGGCCTTGCTGACATAATAAATAGCTGACTGTAACGTCCCTTCTTCACGTATCAAGACAGCGCTGATTGTCGTATCACTGACTCCGAGGTACAAGAACAACATTTCCTCGGGTTTTGGCTTCTGTAATGTCGGAGGAGAAGCAAGAGTCTCCTTAATGTTGGTGAGCGCTTTCTGACACTCTTCGGTCCACTCAAAATGTTTTCCTTTTTTAATGGCTTCGAAAAAAGGTTTGCAACGATCTGTAGACTTGGAGATGAACCGATTAAGTGCGGCAAGTCGGCCGGTTAAGGCCTGAACACCCTTGACCGAGGTCGGGGGAGTTAAATCTTGAATGGCTTTGATCTTGGCAGGGTTGGCCTCAATTCCCCGTTGACTGACCATGTAACCGAGGAATTTCCCCGACTCGACTCTGAAGGTGCATTTTTTCGGATTTAAGACCATGGAATAAGACCGAAGAATGTTGAACATTTCAAGAAGATGTGTGACATGGTCGGAGGCGTTCACCAACTTGACAAGCATATCGTCTACGTAGACTTCCATGGTATGACCTATCAAATTGGCAAACATCTTGCTGACGAGGCGCTGATAAGTGGTCCAGTATTTTTTAATCCGAAGGGCATCATTGTATAGCAGTATAAGCCTCGGGCAGAATAAAACGAGGTGTGCTCTGAGTCCTCGGGATCCATAGAAATTTGATTATAACCGGAATAAGCATCCATAAAGCTCATCAACTCGTGTCCCGAGGTGGCATCAACCATGTAATCTATGTGAGGAAGCGGGTAACTGTCTTTCGGGCATGCTTTATTTAGGTCGGAGAAGTCATTACATAACCTCCAAAGTCCATTGCTTTTCTTGACGAGGACTGGGTTTGAGACCCATGTCGGATACTTGGCTTTCTTAATGAACCTGTTGTCTATGAGATTTTTCACTTCCTCCTCCAATGCTTTCTGACGATCTGGTCCCAGATTTCTTCGCTTTTGAACA